GAGCAAAAAAAGAAGGGTGATGTGTGGGCATTTACCTTTTTCCACATGCAGCTGTGTTGTGTGTGGGTGTTGGCCCCGTTGGGTGCCGCGTTGCACACCGCGCTGCCCCTGTGGGCTGCTCCCTGCCGCTGCTTCACACAGGTGTCGCCAACGCCGCGGCCACGGCAAGAAGCAGAAGAGGGCTGAGACCAGCAGCAGCCACGCTGCCGTCACCTTTCCGCAGATTGGCGTTCACCTGGCTCTGCAGATCGGCAGTGCTGCTGGCAGTTGATTCTGACACTGTCACCGTTGTCGCAGCAGTCTCAATATCCCCCTGCTTTGTACTTTCCTCAGTCTTCCCACCGGAAAGAGCGACAGTCGTAGATGATTGCTCGAGTTTGGAGGCGGTGTCTGTAGTGGCAGGAGTCGCGTTCCTCACTGTGTCCTCCGATTTTTGGTCCACAGCGGCAGGCGGGNGGTGTCTGTAGTGGCAGGAGTCGCGTTCCTCACTGTGTCCTCCGATTTTTGGTCCACAGCGGCAGGCGGGTCTTTAACAACTGGGGGTTGTGCAACGGGTTCAGGTGCTGGTGCCGCTGGTTCAGGTGCCTTTACCGGTGGCGGTTCCACATATACGGTTCCAAATTTGCTGCTTCCGTCGGGGTGGATGGTGCACACCTCGCCGAACTTGGGGCACAGAATACTTTTTCCCGATAAGGAAGAAGGCGTCGTCGTCGTCGTCAGCGGAATGGATGTGCCCTCAGGGCAGTTCTGCCACCCCTTAGTGCCGTCGCTCCCTTCCAGCTGCACCTGCACCCTGCCGTCGGTGCATTTCACATTTGCACACACACCACCGGTAATAGGAGGAGTGCCGCTCCCCACCGTAGTTGAGGGCAACGCCACCGTATCCAAGCACCACGAATTGCTGTCCGAAAGTGACACAGAGAGATTCATTTTCTGTTTTGAGCCACATACACTGGTATTAGGAGAGTCATCCTTTGTAAAATACTCTGCAACAGTTGGGCATGTCTCCCCAAACTCACCAACATTCCCACCGAGCGAAGAGCAATGCCCTACGGCAAAGCGATCAGACGTACAACGGAGTGCCGTATCTGCTGCATTGCAGAACATCTGGGGGTATTGAGTATGGCTCTCTGCTACACACGTCTTGGTCAGAAAGTCGCATCCAGCATCTTTGCCCCATGTCATCGGTTCCGCCATTCTCCAATTTGCTTCGTTTTTTTTTTTTTTTTTTTTTTTT